TTTTTTCTGTGTTGGTGTAGTGTATTCAGGTGAATATGATATTTGTGGTGTTACTCTGAGTGTATATCCACACCGGGCGAGCTTGAAAAATATGCCCGGCCACGGTGGGATTCGAACCTACGACCTTTGGAATACTAGCCCAATGCTCTTCCAACTGAGCTACGCGGTCAGGACGGTTCGAGTAAGTGATATTTCGGAACAGTATCTAGTTCCTTCAATACCAATGTGTTCTAGTAATATGAATTTTCTGTGTTGGTGTTGTGTACTCAGGTGAATAATATGTTTGCGATGTTACTCTGAGTGCATATCCACACCGGGCGAGCTTGAAAAATATGCCCGGCCACGGTGGGATTCGAACCTACGACCTTTGGAATACTAGCCCAATGCTCTTCCAACTGAGCTACGCGGTCAGGACGGTTCGAGTAAGTGATATTTCGGAACAGAATCTAGTTCCTTCGATACCAATATATTCTAGTAATATGAATTTTTTCTGTGTTGGTGTAGTGTACTCAGGTGAATATGATATTTGTGGTGTTACTCTGAGTGTATATCCACACCGGGCGAGCTTGAAAAATATGCCCGGCCACGGTGGGATTCGAACCTACGACCTTTGGAATGGTGGGATTCGAACCTACGACCTAGTATTCCAAAGGTCGTAGGTTCGAATCCCACCGTGGCCGGGCATATTTTTCAAGCTCGCCCGGTGTGGATATACACTCAGAGTAACACCACAAATATTAGAATAGGATTGCTAGCTAGATACGTTATTTTCAAGGTGATAGGGAAATCCAATGAACATATCTTTCGATTTACTTGGATGGATTTGAAGTTTGTTTTGTATCATCCATTTGCGTATATTTTCAAGATCAATATTTACCTTGTCGACAAGGTCAGCGCAGTCATTGAAGATGCATAAGTTTATTTTCATCCTCCATTTTGATACGCCATTGTTTCCATAGCAATAGCAGTTACATAACTTTTATGAATTCAAACTCGGCAAGTAGGAAAGTTCTGATCTAATTTTCAACAAGTCATATTTGACAAAATCTATAAAATCGTAATTTACGTTTTCAAACTCTACTCAGCCACTTTGAATGAGAAACGAACTTGGCAACTCCGATCCGAAACTCGCAGACCCACAAGTTGCAGACTCGCAATATAGCCGACCTCATTTTGTTCCAATATTGACATGCATGATGAGATTGGATTCAGAGTGAAATGAGATCTTGATCGTGATCGAGTTGCAGAAGTTGTAGGTTTAAGATTGAAAAGAATTGTTGTAGAATGTTTATCCAGTAAAAAAACGCAAGTTGATATAAAAAAAAATAAAAGAAAACGATAGATGCAGTTCCTTGATCGTAGGACAAGCGTGTGCAAACTTCCCTGATCGTGCCTGTGGATAAAGTTTGCAAAAGCTGGTCCTTCGATCCGGATAGTGAAGGAAATTCAAAATGATTAGTACGTTGGCAGAGGAGGTTGGACAAGCAGGCCGCAAAGCATCATTGGCCGCACCATTCGACTTCGCGGCGAATACCACCTTGACGAACGATTTTCACATATATATTTGCCTATGAACGTCATGATGGCGGATGGTCATGCTAAGGTTAGCTCCATAGATATTCCCAATACTAAATTTAATGTTGGAAATGTGAATTTGGACGATATTCGAACGTATAAAAACAACAACACTCTTGTCTATGATGGGAAACGTTTAAAGTGGAACGGCAACTATGATGAACTGGAGAGTTTTATTCAAAATACCGTTGGTTTGAGCGGTAAATGGATTTCACCTGGCGGGAACTCTAAGAAGTTTATAAGCAACTCAGATCTGACAATAACTTGGTATCGCGGCAAACAACGAACATTAGTTGTCCAAGGTAGCGAAGGGGAGTCTTTAAAGAAATTACTGGTAAGCCTAAATAGTGAACTTATGTTGCCCCAACAGAGTGACACAGGCGTACAGTCTGCCGAAGTCTCAGTAATAACCTGCACCGGTGATAGAAGCGAAGTAAGCAACCTAACAACCGAGAATAATGATTATCGAGCCGAGATTCCTGTCGCCAAAATAGATATAATATCACCTATTGATAATTCGTCGCTTGTGGAGCTTGAGAATTTTATTGACGATTCATTTTGTAATATTATGAACTCCCGACACAGTGAAGTAACGAAGGGTACTGTGGAACAAGTATTTGTAAATTCTACCCCCTTTAAACAACGCGAGAGTGACAACGCCACTACAAAAAATGCATTATTTGACAATTTTAAAGAGAAGGTTGAATATGAAATATCAAATTTATTGGCTAAACTCACCAAGCAAGACGAAACTATCAACATAAATAAGCAAGATATATGCAAATTGCGTGAAGAAAATTTGCATCTCAAATCACGTATCTCCAAATTAGAAGAAAAGATGGCCTCGGCCTCCATAGAAAAATTCCCTGGTGCTATTGAAATATCTTCTGTCACACCTACAACGCAGTACGTCCCCATAAGCACTAAGAAAAAGGCCAACGAAGACCGAATACCGGAAAGTAATGTGCCTAATATGCAGTCCAATCCAGAAGTTAGTGTACCTACTTATGAAAATTTGACCTTGCAACCGCGAACCCAGCAGACAAATAAGAATCGTTACGACCGCCCACCAAAGAATTCCACTCCTTGCCCATTTCTTCTGCGTCGAGGTTGGTGTCGAAAGGGAGACCGATGCGACTTTCAGCATCTTAAACCATCTCGCAATACACATAAACATAATGTCCCCTGTCCTTTTTTGCAGAACAGAGGCTTCTGTCTGAAAGACGATCGATGTGATTTCTCCCACGCTTGGGTACCAACCAGAAGGTCGGTATTAAAAACCACTACTAGTAGCCATTTGCCACCTGCCTCTTTTTTATCCCGAGCGCAAGTGCCATTGCCACCAAACGTCCACACAGCCCAACCCCAGCAGCTCCAAACGTACAGCCTACACCCATGGCGACCCCCATCTTATTCAAGGCCGTTAATGGAAATCCCACTACCCTCGTCCAGTTTTCCCCGATTATCCTCCCAGATCCACCAAAACAGATTTTACTAAATCCTTCTAAACAGAGCTCCACTCCATGTATTGCCCTTGAGTCCTCTTCCACATGCATTCCTATGCTTTTCCCGATCAGCGATCTACCAGAATCCACCCCATCACGATACTCGTATTCAGTCGAAAAAACTAATACACTTGAACGCATAAAATTTAAGTCTACGTTACCCTCCACCAAATACCAAACCTTTTAATTTGTAATCTCCGCTCCCTGACGTCCAAGGTCGACGAACTTGACGCTGTGGTGTCTTTTAACCAAACGGACATGGTCTGCATTACAGAGACTTGGTTATCCCTGCAATTCCTGACAATTTGGTATCCTTGTCCAATTTCAATCTGTTTAGGAACGATAGACTGGTTTCAAACGGCGGAGGTGTTTGTGCTTACATAAATAGCAATATCTATTGTAGACGAATTGAGGAATTTGAAAACTCTTCGATTGAATCACTGTGGTTATCAGTGAGACCAAAGAAGCTACCCCGCTCTGTCTCGGTTATCTTACTGGCTGTTGTTTACCATTCAACAGCATCCCGCCAAACTGAAAATGTAGAATTGTATTCACACATTCAAACCAATGTGGACTCATTTTTATATTCCCACCCTGAAGCTTTGGTCCTAATTACGGGCGACTTCAATTTTAGAAGCACGGGTCTCGATGCAAACCATCTTAAAAGAATTGCTGGTCTGACGCAGATAGTCAAGGTAGCTACCAGAGCTGATGTAACTTTAGACTGGTGTTTAACCAACTCAAAGGTGGATAATATTTACGAATCAATCCAACTTCCTCCCATTGGAACCAGTGATCATTATACGATTCTTATGAAAGCCCAACCTTCTCCCTCAAAGCCAGACAATTCACATATATGGAAACGCGATCTCAGAGATAGCAGGATACGGCCTTTTGGACGATATATCACTACATTTGACTGGTCTCCTATCTTGGACATACATGACTGTGATACAAAATATGAAAAGTTTAACGATACAATGACTGTGATGATTGAAAAATTCTTTCCCTTGGAACGGATTAAAGTACGAAAGTGTGATAAGCCTTGGATGACGTCATCAATAAAGTCTGCTATTGGGAGACGCCAAAAAGCCTTACACGAAAGCGGGAAAAATTCAGATATTTATAAATATTGGCGTAACAGAGTCCAATCATGCATTAAAGTTGCACGAAAGATCTACTATATGAGGTCAGTTGAGAAATTGGAAAATTCTAACCCGGCAAGATGGTGGAAAGAAGTGAAAGCCATTGGTGGTCTCTCGTCAAAAAATTCTTGGTATTCTCAGCTATTTTCTGATGATGTTCGGAATTGTGAAGAACTGGCCGAAAATTTTAATAACTTTCTTACTGCCCTTACATCACATTTTGACCCTCTAACTCTCGACGAAATCCAGGAGGGCCTAGAAGTACCAAACCATTACCTCGTTGACGCCCAACAGATCTATATGAAACTTAGTAAAATTAAAACCACAAAATCACCGGGTCCTGACATGTTTCCAAATAAAATCCTGAAAACATTTGCCTTTGAGCTTGCCCCAGTTATCTCAGACATTTTCAACTCATCCATGACACAAGGCACCTTCCCAAAGGCATTGAAGAGATCTATTGTAGTGCCTGTCCCTAAGGTATCACCCCCAAAGAGTATTGAAGACGACCTACGACCAATATCTTTAACATCTCAGATCGCCAAAGTTATGGAGGATTGTACTTTGGACAATTTTTTTTCCTGAAGTTGTAAATAAACTTGACACCAAACAATTTGCACTCCCAAAGAAATCAACGACCCACGCTTTGGTCTACCTTTTACATTCAATCTTGGTTGCTCTTGAGAGAGGTTCCTGTACTGCCAGATTGTTCTTTGCAGATTTCAAGAAAGGTTTTGACCTAGTAGACCACAATGTTATTATTAAAGAATTAACCCTGCTTGGTACCCATCCCTCTATAATTCGGTGGATTAAAGCCTTCCTCTGCGATCGCGAACAATGTGTCCGGGTGGGAACTTCTATGTCCTCTTGGAAGAAAACAAATGGTGGCTTGCCACAAGGTACAAAGTTGGGTCCATTATTGTTTGCTGTTCTCATTAATTCCTTACTCAAAAACTGGCCCAGTAGGATCAAGTTTGTGGATGACACCTCAGCCCTAGAGATTATACCACGTTTTTCATCCAGTTTAATGCCATTAGTCGTAAATGAAATCTCGGACTACGCCTTAGAACGTGGAATGGAACTAAATTATAAGAAATGCAAACAAATGTTGATCAACTTTCTTAAATATAAAGGATCTGATGATGAAAACCCGATCTATGTTGCAGGTAAACCGGTGGAAACTGTGTCCTCTTTCAAACTCCTAGGTGTATGGATATCAAACGACTTGTCATGGAATACTCATGTCGACATGGTATTGAAAAAGGCAAATTCTCGCTTATACGCATTGCGTCTGTTAAAAAAGGCTGGTCTTCAAGCATCTGACATCGTCCAAATATATATCTCATTCATCAGATCCAGAATTGAATATGCATCCCCTGTATGGTCGTCAATACCTAAATCATTATCTGACATTCTCGAATCTGTTCAAAAGAGAGCATTGAGAATAGCTTATCCAGATCTGTTATATGATGAAGCCCTTGAAATTTCAAACTTACAGTATTTGAGTACTCGTAGAGACATCTCTTGCAAGAAATTCGTCGAATCTCTGCGACGTGATGTTTCACCCTACAACCCTTTGACCCAAATTATGGAAATTCGTCCCGGGGTAAAAACTCATGATTATGACTTAAGGAATGACAGAACGGCCGAACAACCTTTATGGTCAGAAACCACTGAACGGTTAAAAAACTTCGTGACTAGGAAATATTATTAGCTTTATAGTTAATTAACAGTCCTAACTAAATAAACATTATTTTATATAATATATATATATGTACATTTTAATATAAATTTTTATGCTATATTAGTACTCCATGTAATTCAGTTTTCCTTTAAAAACTGCAAATTGGTTTTAATTAAACAGATTGATTGATTGATTGATTGATTGGTTTCAGTGCCTAATTCCACGCGGGGCCTCAATTACTCTTTTACTGTCGTGGAGTGAACATCTCTCTGACTAAACAAATATTGAAGCATTCGAAAGACAAGATTGTTAGGCTGCAATACTTCGTGAGATGAATTTCAAGGGATGGAATCGGTAGCTAACTAGATGCGCCTGATTAAGCAAGCAACATCACCAAGGATGATAGTTCCTAGAATCCTTAGACTACCAATGGTTCCGCCTCTAAAAATACCTCCAACCAGTTATAAGGGTTGGAGAAAGGTAACCATTGGTGATACCCTGACCATGCAATAACAACCTCCAATCCCTTATAAACCCGCCACTGCACGAGCAAGAATATCAGGTGAAGTGTGAATCTAACGACGATACGCATCGCTTGTCCAACGTCCAAGAGCTTAGATGGGTTGATCTGGCAGGCCCTGATCCCGCGGCCGCCATTGCGGCATCAATGCGGAGGCTGTGGGAAGTAAAATTACCGGGAATACCCATGCGTGAGAGACTGATGCGCCGATAGTGGTTTATTTGAGGTGGCCGGGTGTTGTGCCGCGTACCGCCAGATAATATTGCAGCGCTGCAACTGGACACACGCGTTAAATAAATGAAGCAACCGCGTCGAAAAGGGTCAGTTTTCGAGATCTTAATATGTTAACTAGAAAAAGCTGAATTAATGGTAATTAATTCGCGTGGCATAACACCATGCACATGGAATATTAACAAAATCGTTTATTCTATTTTTTTCCAAAATTCATTCGGATACAACAGGTTAAATAAGGTACGCTAATTTATTTTTTCTTTACCATTCCTTTTGTCAGTGTGAAACCACTGGCATGTGTAAAATAATGGTATAATAATGTGATAAATAGGTAATAATGGTATAATAATGTGATATGCCAGGATAATTTGTGGACAGCGAAAAATAAGCGTAGCATACTGTAGAATACTAAATGTACAACAAATATTCATTATCATAACTCAACTGAGGTAATTATAATAGTTCTTAGAATGTCAATAAATGTCTAGTTTTGTGACAAAGTGATTCAATAAAATGATTTAACATAATTGTTATCCGCAAAGAATATTGCTGAGTATCTTTTCTACAAAATGTGTTCTATTTACTATGAAGAGGATCTTTTGAAACTTCCAGACTAGTTTGCATATATCATCGATACATTACACGTTGTATAATATAGTTTCTGCAGTCAGGGCCGTAGCGACCACACCCGCCTCGATAATTCTGGATAATATATTTCAGTTAAATGTGAGAGAAGTTTGATAAAAAAATTCAGGCAACTATCGTGTCCGAAATCCGCGAACAATTAGCATTAAATATGAGGCTTAGTCCCAAGCCGGCGTCGCGAAGCGCCGTGCGAGGGTACTAATTCTGCGCGGCTAATTATACCCGGGTATGTGAAAACATAGCGGAGTGCAAAGTTGTCCCCCATTTTGTTTATGTCATGGACGGTTTTCGACGTTATGCGCATGCGCGAGTACAAACTCTGTCAAACTAATTGTTTTTCATTTTGAAAGGACGTATTTGAAAGGAGGTATTGAACCTTCGCTGTTTTACAGCAATTTTTTGTTTTAAATTTCATTAAAAAGTTTAAAAAAGTACAACACGGGTTTTTTTCTCGATTTTAACTGGAAATAAGCCTGCAGCTTCATGAATTTTATTAGTGTCTGTTCAACCGTGACACAAAGTTTATATACTATAATTGTTTTGATGTTTTGATGTTGAAGTCTTTGATAATTTAATCGTTGTTGTGCCGGTTTGGGTAAGTGCATTTCACATTTCAGTAGTAAATTTCCATGCCGTACTTGCTTTGTGTTGTCGGTTTTATTCAAATCTGCGAAATGTTTAAGCCATTCTTAAATCGATAATTCACTTTAATGCAAGCTGGTATGCATGATATTGCAGTGAATGTTATCGCTCATTATAAAGCAAGCGCATCAGTTGTGTTTCTATGTATGTTTTGTGATGGTCTTAATATTTTATGTGGTGTTTGTATACCTCATCTGTTAAGAAAGGCGAGGGGTTGCTGCATGCATTTATTTTCTAGTTTAATAGTGGTATAGAAGAGATGACCACCAACGCCGTCGCTAGGGAAAGGTGTGGGAGAGGGGATTGTTAAAATGATGGATTTGTTGGCAAATTGTTTTCGTATCAGGCAAAACATGAATTGAATAGGAAAGAAAACAAATACAATATTTGGGAAAATGAAAATTAAAACGAAAATAATATTTTCTGGAAAATATTTTTATGTTAAAGCACACTCCACCCCCGCACCCCCCCCCCCCGCCCCACACCTCATACCCTCTACAACCTTAAAGGTTGAAATGTTGTGTGTGGGCAAAATTTTGTCGGCAAATACATTGAATTTTACATTTTCAGGTAGAATTATTAACAAGGTAATAATGAGAAAATATCTACGGCGCATATACATTACTGTTCTACTGCCTCGTCCCTCGTCCTTTTAGTTGGGAATAGAGATGAGTGTAAAAACAATGGGAGCGCGGGGCTTAATGGGAATGCGATAGAACGTGACCGCGCGTATGGATGAGGGACTGTTGAAGAGTCAGACTGTTCTATGCGTATAAGGAAAATATCAAGTAGATTTTTGTTGCCCATCCCTTAAATGAAGGCTGCTGGCAAAGGCCCTGTCTGCAGGAAACAGTAAAGCATATTATGCACTACTGTAAATCGCAAAGTCAGAGAATACGATAGACGGACGTTTGCAATTTGCTTGAATTGCTGTTTGCAGAACATGGTTTGTAGAAATTCATGGTGTTATGTTTGTCTGGTGTAAGTTACTGCCAGGGCCGTTGTGAGCAGCCTGCATTTAGGGGTGGGGGTGGGGGATGTGAGCAACAAAAATCTTAATGCGAAAATCTACCTGGTAAATAATTTTATCTGAAGTAATCTTACAACCCCTAATTAATATTTCTTTTTCCAAAATTGTTGGCGAGCGGGGACGAAGTCAACAAGTCAACACAAAAATTTTCCGGAAATTGTTTTTTTTCAGTTTTCCAAATAATTTAACGACCCTTATACTAAACGTATAAAAATACTAACCTAAATCTTATTTTTAATGCTAATTCTTCGCGGATTTCAGGGACTATATATAGTGTCAGGGACTATATATAGCCTGAATTTTCAGCCAAATTATCTGACATTTATCTGCAATTAATTATTAACAATTGTTGGGTTGGGGGTGACACCCCAAACCCCCCGGTCACTAAGGCCCTGGTTACTGCCTATCATTATCGTTTGTTCCTAGTCGGCAGTAGTGTTATTATATGCTTATGTCCAGTTAAATAGACAAATGTCGTAAAAACTATCCTCAGTACAAATACTGAATATGCAGCGGAATGGACACTATAGTAAGTAGCCAACATTACACTAAATACTTGGACTGACTTTGTTTACAGCCAGCGATTGAGGCAAGTTGCAAATGATGTACTTTGTCATCAGATTTTGCAATTAACAACGTGCAGGCGCGTTATATATTTATTGACTGTTTACTGTTAAAGCCATATTTGAACGTGATATGCAAGGAAATGTGGTCATGGATTTTGCCAAAATTTAGTCCAATTTGAAGAATGTTTTTTACGAAATCCTTGATATTGCAAAAGACAAAAGTATCTTGATTGTGTGGTTCTGTTATGCCTTGAATACAGGAACCACAGCACATCCCATATTTCGTATTTCCCTGACAATCAGTCTATTTTAAAAAGAACCAGTGAGGAAAACCTTTGGAAACTTATAATATTTCTGATCATATAGGAGAAAGGAATGTCCTGATAAAATCCCAATATTGCCGTTCAGTGAAATTAAAAATGTGTAGTTTAATGTAAATATTTGATTGCGAGCTGGATAGAAACATACTCGAAAAAAAGAGATCTACGGAAGCAAAATCGCAATGTATGTCAACAACTTTTCGCCAAAAGACCGTTGAAAATTGTAATTGTGAATAATAATGAGACGCAATGCATTGTGAGAAGACCCTCATTCCTCCTCTGGGTTTTCGAAGCGTCTAAACCAATACGTAAATTGCTGAAAAGTGTACAGCAAGCACGCCACTTCAAAACAGACACATAGTTCCAAGATTAATTTAATACCTTGATTCCCTCCATTCTCATATCCACAGATCATCATATTTCAATGTGTGAATAAATATAAATAATATATTTTAACCCCTCTTATCCACCCCAGAATCTTTGTTGATGAGTGGAAAAAGGCCTGGTACTACCAATTTATAAGTTATAAACCAAACAATAAATGCAAATGCAAACATTTTCGGCCAATTTCCATACTATACCAATTATTAGTAAAATCTTTGAGAGATTTCTTTTCAACTAGGTATATAAATGTCTTAACGACAATTTCCTGCTGTCAAAATATCAAACAGGATTTTGTCCTAAGGCTAAGAATTTGACTTTTTTTGTGTGTTGGTGTTGTGTACTCAGGTGAATATGATGTATGTGATGTTACTCTGAGTGTATATCCACACCGGGCGAGCTTGAAAAATATGCCCGGCCACCATGGGAATCGAACCTACGACGCTTGGAATACTAGCCCAATGCTCTGCCAACTGAGCTGCGTGGTCAGGTCGGTTCGAGTAAGTGATATTTCGGAACTGAGTCTAGTTCCTTCGATAAGAATTTGACTTTGTTTGCTGTGATACAAATGTGTGATGAATGGTATGAAAATATGGATCAAGGCAAATTGAACGGAGTTGTGTTCTTAGCGGATATCCGTAAGGCCTTTGATTCAATTGACTACAAAATATTAACAAATAAATTAGAAACGCAGTTTGGTATCACCAGTCCAATACTTTATGCCATACCTGTGTTAAAAGCGGCTTTCTGATTGGTTTAGAGCAGGTGAGCTTGTCGTCGAGCTCACCTGCTTTTTGCACGAACTGACCTGCCTTTCGTCGAACTCGCGAAACTGCTCACGTTGCAATAACAACAACAAAATTAACATGGCGGACAAGATTTAGCCGATAAACCTAAACTTTAAAGAACTTTTTTCGGTGAATAACCTACTAAGACTGAAGAAAATCCAAAGAAAATAATGCAATAAAGGTTATCTAGACGTAGATAAAGAAGTATTAAGAGCCCAGTGATTTTTTTGGTCGGGAAAATGTTGACAAAACATCCCGACGAATATGTCGCGAAGAGCTACAAATATACGTATGGCTCGGTGTATGGGATAAAAACCAAATATACTTGCAGGTTTGGTGAGTCCGGGATTGGACGCACCTCAGGTGGCTGGAAGTTTCCCGAACTCACCTCGCTTCGTCGGTAAGTTCGGGAAACTTCCAGCCACCCTCGATGCGTCCAATCCCGGATTCATATCCCTGCAAGTACGTTTGTTATAGAACTAAACAAACTCGGCCAAAATCTCAACATTTAAACGAAAAAGCTCATTAAAATGACAGCTAAATACATGAACTCGTAGTTAAAACAAGCACACACTAAAGAGGTTGAGAAAATATAGGGGTAAATAGCTACAAAGTGTTGTTGAATTTCAACGATCTGCTTGGAATATTAACAAACATTATTTGTGCATATATTTTAAAAAATCGCCTGTCACTTTCATGCTCAAAACAACAAGCAAAGTTGAGAAAACTTAAAAATTTTACCGCATGTGTCAGCAGTTTCCAAGAGTCCTTGTTGGTGTGTAATCCAGAACCAAAATTTGGCCATTTTGATAAGATTTTTCCCTTTAAATGCAGCTTTTAATACTTTCAAACGGCCATTGACTCTCGCGCCCTTCGCCGTTTGTTGCTACTAGTAGGCTATCACTAATAGCCTATTATATAATACCTTATTGAATTCTGATCGTTTAATTGGCTGTTTATGGTCACGTGATATTGAATAGAAAATCCCATTTCCCAAGAGTGCAATGGAATGGGTTCCATTGCACTCTTGCGAGTGCAATTGTACTATACGTTCTATTCCATTGCACTCTTTGTGTTTTCGATAAATCGCATCCGTCAAAATGCTTCTCGTACGGTGATCGCAGTTTATTTTAACCCGATATTCGAAACTCAGTAGATGGGATTTAATGCAAATACGACTCGTCAAAATGGCGGGAGCTTACAGTAAACCTTTAAATATTAGTCTATTTTGGTATTATATAAAACAAATAATGAATGTTTTTATTCGTGCAATGGTAAGAATATTTTCATTCGGTGAAAGATGGAATGTTCTATTCAACTCGGCTGTCGCCTCGTTGAATAGAACATTCCATCATTCACCTCATGAAAATATTCTTACCATTGCACTCATAAACATTCATTATTTGTATACTAGTAGCGTAGCCAATCAGAACGCACGATACATGATAGCCTACTAGTAGGTTTATACTAATTAAGTTTATGATTATATTGAAACGACATATAATCTTCGCACTCAAAGTTTATGGTTATCCTGTGATTTCCTGAATAAGTCTTTTAGTAGAACTAGCTAGCTCTTTTGAATTTCTAGGGATTTTGTTACATGAAAATCTTAAATGGGATGAACTTATTTGAAAAAAAAAATTTAAAAAGTCGGATCTGGCTGTGGCATGCAATTTTGCGTAGGGCTAAGCACTTCTTTATTCCTATGGATAAACTACAAATGATCTACAATGCCCGATTTAGCCATTTTCTTATCACTGTTTCTCCAGTATGTGGAAAAGAACTACTTCATAAACTCAAAAAATTTCAAAATGGTGCGGCAAGAATAATTGTCGGCGCAATTTACGAAATTAACTCTGCTGACGTTCTTGAATCTCTTGGTTGGGTGACTTTGAAAGAAGAAGACAGAAGATGAAGTCACTTCTTCGGTACAAAATTTTAATCAATTATACTGCCGCTAATTTGAAAGAGTTTGTGATCAGGAGTAGTTCTATGCAGGGGCGAGGGTACTAATTCCGCCTGGATATTTACACTTTCGCGAAATCTAAAGTATATATATTGTGTATATACTTGTGCATTTACTGCCAATAACTAACCTCCAATAATTGTAGCTCTGAGTTCCCAAGCAAAACCTACCACTAGAAATTGCCAACAAAAGCATTTATGCGAATGAAACATTCCTTAGAATACTAATAATATATATCAACATGAATCGTGACATTTCTTGTAAAACAGCATAAACGAAAAGACTTCCACGCACTGCATAATAGCAGTGCGAGAATAAAGGGAAATACGCAAATCGGCAGAGTTGTAAATTTTCGCGTGTGCTAAACTGATAGAGTATAGCCTAGTACATGTAGTTGAAAGGAACTGACATTTATTTTTATATTTAAACTTTAATTAGGCCTATATAAGCCTTTACTAAGGCTATATAATTGTGCTGTATATAAGCATTACATGTGATGGGTTACTTCGTACTCTTGCATACAGGTTGATTTGCTGCTACAATGCAAGTATATAATAAGTCAGATATAGGTTAACATAATTAAAGGTCAGTGCATACATAGTACCGTCAGAATGGTTTTAATCTAGTTCCATGAAAAAGTTTGAAATGGCGTATATAACTAGTTCTCGTTAAATTGAAAGCTCGTTTGACAGACGTAATGCCGAGGGAAGCGGTCATTGCATGGCAGATCATTCCATTGTCCACCAACATCACCGCCAGATGTCGAATGAGCTGGCAGCATCTCGCCGCAATCTTCGTTTCCTCCAGAATCACTTGGCTGCCCTGGATACCAATTTGTGTAGGTTGGCTCGACGCCACGCACGGTATAAAACGTGTTAGTTCCAAGACCGTCGGCCACCTTATAGAGACCAATAAATGCTTTGTGGACGTTGCTCGCTTTCATAGCCTGAAAAATGTGCAGATTATTTATCTTGCTTGTTGGCACCGCCAAGTCTCCACCACGTGCGCGACAAGTAGCTCGTGCAGCAGGCCAATTTTTGGCAGTTCTCGGACTGATATAGTAACAATGACCATCGAAATACTTCGAATCGCATGGACATACGTAGGCTAAAAAAGAAAATATCATTTCATATCACTAAATTGACTTCCAAACTTGGTATTATATTTTCTGAAATTTGCATAGAATAAAATAACAGATATGTAGTGGTGGTAACTAGAAAAAGCTGAATTAAATAGAGAATCATACATGGGTACGCACCGAACGAGTGAGATATCATGTTCAACACGAGAAATAAATCTGGTATTTCCAAGCACCCATGTATTTTTCTGTCTATTATATAAAGGACAGTCTTTGAAAAACGATAATTTTTACAGAAAAGCGATTTTAATTGAAAAGCGTTATAAAGCGATTTTAATTGAAAAACTTTTATCAGTGCTCGAAATCTCTTTCAAAAACTCATTAATAATTCATGAAGCAATTATCCAATCTTGAGTAAGAAATTAGTCACGTGCATACGTCTTTATACCAGCTAAAGAACACTTTAACAAAAGACCATTGTTATGCAAACTATATAAAGGTTTTATATAAAGATTTTTATATAAAGATTTTTATATAAAGATTTTTATATAAAGATTTGACTTATTATGCATACGTTTTTGAAGTCATTTAAAAAACTCGCGGGTCGTGTTTTATTAGGTCTAAAGCCACTCGCGCTGCGCGCTCGTGGCTTTAAACCTAATAAAACACACCTGCTCGTTTTTTAAATAGTACATAAAGCACTATACTTTATATAATAATGGTAATTAATATTCGCGTGGCATAAAACCACATAGAATATTAACAAAATCGTTTATTCCATTTTTTCAAAATTCTTTGGGATACAACAGATTAAATAAGGTACGTTTATTCTCCTTTATTATTCTTGAATATCTCTTTTCAGTGTAGAGGTCTATTAGAAAACTAAAAGGCTTTTGTATTCCAAAACCTTAGACACCGAGGGATGGGGCTAGCTAGGGTGTCTTGAGCCCCCTCCCCCAATTATTTGTAAACTACAATCCATGGGGCAAAACCCTTGAGATCATTCCAGGCAATATTACAAAGTTGTTGAACATTGACAAAACAAATTTTTCTTCCCCCCCCCCCCCCGATGAGTCAAGCTCAACATTGTGTTGTGGAAGCGGGGTCTTAAGAAGGGCAACATGATTCAACATGGAGTTTATCATAAAATATACGAATTTTGTATACGGGGAAAAAACAGGTTCAACCAGAAATGTCCAAGATTGTAACGATAATCTGTAAAGTTTGAGAGGGAAATAAACACCTATAATAAACTGACCCCTAGTTAAAATGTTAGTAAGTGCTAAAAAAGTCAAATATCACAAAAAATAGGTAGGAAGCACGTACATGTATCTGTTAGCCTCAACAAGCTTGCCTTCAGAACAACAAGGCAGAAACCGCAGAGTGTTTGAGCAAAATAGAGTTGACAAGCATGTATTCTACTAATTAAATATACTTATCACATTTCCTACAGTATAACTAGAAGTCACTATCGCAAGAAAAATGCTGCTTCACACCCAAGAGGTGAAAGGCAGCATGCGCAATTTGCTGAATAAAGGGCTATTTATATGATCCCACTTTACCACGAGGACGAGTTATGAGGCCGCATGACTTCGATGGATTGAAATAGGTCAGGATGCATGATTCACCAAAACACTTCATTACTTTCTAGAGATGGATTATAGTTAACTGTAAACGAAAGGTTGTTCAAGCAGAAATAATAATCTTCTTGAACTACCAGATCTTCTCCACAACATTTGAGTCTTGTTACTTGTTAACCAGCATTTGAACGTGCCTTTAGCCTTTAGTGACTTATGCTTATTTCAATACATCAAAATCATCCCCCTGTTCAGGAGGCAGGAAAAGTGCAATTTAAATTTCAAACACCTTACACAAAGTCGAAGGTATAGCTATATTATAAAGAATATTTATTCCACTTCTACTTTCATGGCATTAGCAGTTTTATATGAATAACTTCAATGCTTATAACTTCTTGCTTTTGTATGTACAATTATAATGTTGTCATTTGTGAAGTTAGCCATAGTAACAGGTCACGCTATGCAAGTTGTTAATGATTTGCATTATTCAAATAGATACAGGTTTATCAGCATAGCATGACCAGTTTTCATGGCTACCAAATTTCATGTGATATTGTGATATTGTATATATATTGTGATATGTATATATATTGTGATATTGTATATATATATATATATATATATATATATATATATATATATATATATATATATATATATATATATATATATATATATATATATATATATATGCTGTTGATGAGGCGACCAGTAAGAGACATGTTTTTCGAAGTTGTATCTGGTCTAGTTAAAATATTCTGAAGAAGGTTGCAGTTAGCATGCAGCCGAAAATTCAGTACATATTTTTAACTTAGAACTTTTTTAAATATTTTAGCTAGACCAGATACAACTTCGAAAAACACACATATATATATATATATATATATATATATATATATATATATATATATATATATATATATATATGTGTGTGTTAGTTGTGTTATTGTACAACATAACACTTGCAGAACTAGTATTGTTCGATGCTGAATTAATATAAACGAGTAATATGTTTATGACATTCAGTATATATTTCATAATTTCCAGTCTTAAATCCGTCTGACCGTGTAGCTCAGTTGGTAGAGCGTCGATCTAGTAATTCGAAGGTTGCGGGTTCAAGACCCAGCCGCGACAGACAACATCTTTCTGCTTGTGCTGGGTATGTAGAAGTTGCATGTATAATACACACTCCAGAACATTTTCATCTTAATATATATATATATATATATATATATATATATATATATATATATATATATATATATATATATATATATATATATATATATAGCTAATTCAAAAAAGGTTTTCCTTTGCAAATCTTAAACTCTAAACCTTAAACCTTAATCTTTAAGCGTGCAAAGCATAATGGCAGCACATGTCAAGTTTCGAGTTTAGTAGTTGAATATTGCATCTATTTGTAAATAAATTGTTCTCGTAAGGAGATATTCACCATGTCTCTAAGAAATGGGTCCGATATGTGATTTCTAAACTATTTAAATCACATTTGCGTTCAGCTTTTTCAATGGGTTTTTTGGACATCCTACATATAAATAAACAGTAACAATACTTGAATGAATCATTGGAAATGTAGAATTTAATAACAATTTTATAATTTAGAAATTGACTAAGTCAATTTTGTCCCATGCAATTATCGTTTTAATGGCGCCGTCAAGGCTACCCCTATCGCAGAACAACTAAACAATCTGCCGATGGGGAGACAAAATCCATTTGGGGACATTTTTGTTTCGTAAGTCAGCTTCAGACGAAACCATTATTTGTTATGTTTACAAGATTGTACTCGGGCAGCACCGCAAAACTCTATAATAAAAAAGAAATTGTGAGCATTATCGAAAAGTATAGTAGCATGTACCCTAAAATGTAGTGACACGGCAAGGTGAATATATAGGAATGTAGGATAGTATAGTATTATTTTATATTATGCTAACAATAGACATATCTGATATCTCAAAGATATATTTCTATAGACCGTCATACCTTCTAAAAAACATGTCATTTCATGTAACCGCTGATAAGCTAATATGTGCAGACAACAATCCATACCCCATGGGTTTTTTATAAGAACATCTTTACATTAAACCTGTCTTATTAAGAAGTGCATACACAACATTCTGCATTTGCTTTTAAAACATGCTGAAAGCACATTGACATCTAGAATGAACACTATATATAAACTCGTCGCCTTGGGACATCGGCACACAAACAAATAAACTAAAAGTACATTTTGACTGCTTGTATATATATACTATAATCAGTGGGCTATTAAAACTACTGATAAATTCATGAATCATATTGTTTCAATTAATACCTCTATATCCAACACTAAACAGCAGATCTGAATATAAATGGCTTCATGTATATCACCAGAAAGAAATAAAGCTATCCTTACCTGAACTATTCAAATTATTGTCCATCGTTTCCATCGTGAAAATTAAATTTATAACGACGTCTGCGCAGGAAGCTAGTATAAAATAAGCTCGTAACTGAAATCTTAAAGAATGAATGTAACTACTTCAATGAAATCGTATTTTCGCAAAAATATACCTGAGGACACTGCATAATGTTTATATGTTACATAAATGGTAATGTGCATCAATAAAGCACATATCACAAATATGAAGATATGACCGCTTTGGCCAGAAGTTGCAGAACTGAGCAAATAGCAACGTATAAATACGTATTGTACAGTAGATGTACTAAAAACAATTTCCGAAATTTATCATGTGTCATAAAAAACAAACAATCGTCGAACCTCGGCCTGATGACAATTCCGAAATTTTTCCCTTGGCTGTTCTGGATATAGTTGGGTCCTATTGCATCGATATTATAGTTTGTAACAATTCTTATATTCAGAGTAGCTAAAGAAAAATACGCTACAACATGTACCTGTTGCAGAACAACTGTAAACCAGAGTGAGCAGCATAAATAGATTTTTGAACAACATCCTGAAAAGTAGTTTGTCTATTCTTGACTGCACTGAAATTTAAAAAAAAAATGATCAAATCATGTTTATTTGAATGTTTAAGATTCTTAGCCTTCAGATAAGTTCACCAAATTGAAAAAGTGGTTTACACAGTGAGCTTTGGCATGTCATTTTCCAGCAATAATAATGAAGCCATCATTATTTTACAATAAAATTGTGTTTTTGATAGTATTTAACAGTTACAAAACTAGTGACACAATGCATCTTTGAAACTTACCAGCTTTCTCCAAATTTTCTTCGCAGCTTGCAATGTTGTTCTCACCTATTCACTGCAAATTTGAATGAGCAACACAATTTTGCAGCTTTATTTATAGTCAACGTTCCATTTTGAGCTAACAATAAATTTCCTGCGAGTCCACCACCACATCCAATATCACGATATTGGTGTGAATAGCCGTTTCCTGAGCAAACCCTGTTATCACGCATGACTAATTGGTCTTTGTCATTAGTGTTGGATATGCTTCAACATTAATTTATGCAAAACGTCCAATGATGATACCGAATAAGTAAGACGCTGTGTCTACCATAATTTCAATAAATAATTTACATGTACATCCTCTTGAGATATATGTCCTGCAGAAATAATTTTCCTTTACTCACAGTATAAATATATCAATTAAGTTTGTATCGGCTGCAATGATTAGTAGTAATATGGATGAAAATTTCGGTTCCCTTTAGTACTTCAATGTAGCATATAGTAAATTATTTTCCTCCATCGCAACACATGCAAACATATATGTGTCTCAAGCCCGCCGCACACGAGCGCACTTGTCGCGCGTACTTGTTATTCGTGACAAGTTGCATAGATCGACAGAAATTCCTCGTGTGCGGGCAACATTTACGGCAATTTCGTCATTCGTGACATGTAAACCAAATATCAAACATGTTTGATATTTTTCGTCATTCGTGACAAAAAAATTCTCGTGTGCGGCGAGCAAACGACAAGCGCGCCTGAATAGGAAAATTTGCGCATGCGTGCAACTTGCAGAATTGAAAACAACATGGCGGATCAAAATCACTAGCTCGTGTCTTGTTTTTAATCCTGCAAGTTGCACGCATGCGCAAATTTTCCTATTCAGGCGCGCTTGTCGTTTGCTCGCCGCACACGAGAATTTTTTTGTCACGAATAACGAAAAATATCAAACATGTTTGATATTTGGTTTGCATGTCACGAATGACGAAAAGGCCGTAAATGTTGCAAGCACACGAGGAAATTTTGTCGATCCAACTTGTCACGAATAACAAGTATGCGCGACAAGTCCGCTCGTGTGCGGCGGGCTTAAATTTCTGATCTTAACTCTAGAACAATTCACATGCATGCAAAATTTAGACATTCAGACAATCTCGCACGGACATAACTGGTTGAGACTATCTCTTTCTCTCAATGAAAATTTCGCACCACTTGAGATAAATTCCATGTTCAATCATGTTGCGCTTCTTAAGACCATGTGTCATGGATGGTAAATTGCCAAAAGTTGTTTCGGCGTTGTGTGCGACATTGAACTGGAGGAGAGGGGTGACAAATCAATGCGCATTAATTTTACAATACATGCAGCCTGGATAGGTCTCATGCATGGCTCGGTACAAAATTGTATGAAACACACTGAACTTAATTGTACGTAAAATCTTTATTTCACTCCGCTAGTGTAATAAATGGATTTTTACATTAAACCTGGTTTTTGGAGCAATATATCTTTGTTTCCATGAAAAGAAAGCAATGTATTGCCTATATTTGAACTTTTCATATCCTGAAAGATTCCGTGTTGAATCATGTTGCACTTTTCAAGCCTCCGCTCCCCCAACTCAATGTTAAGCATGTAGTGCCCCAAAAAAGTTAGGCATCACTTTATATTCACTGCGTTAGTTTGTTTAGCTTGTTAGTTTGTTCGGAATCATAACCCTTGGTATATCGTGTACATACCTGTATACTTGGGGGTTCATTCAATGCAGTTCAATCACGTTCTTGGTAATTGGCTGTTTAAAATTAGAATTGTAAATATGCAAAACTATGAAGGCGCGGTCGTAGACGTTTGTGGGAGTGGTCGATATACGAATTTTTTATGCGATTCTACAGTTCGGTGACTTTCATAATATAGGCATTGTTTTATATATTCACTGCGTTAATTTGACTCTGCATGTTTGCTTGGTAGTTAGCTCTGTAAATTCAAAAGAGTCAAAACAACCCCGAAAGGAGTCATTCTGCACGGGGTCAAGTTCACCCCAGAACGAACCTTTGGAGTCGTTATGACTCGTTTTTGGAGTCCTTTTGACTCTTTTAAATTTTTTTGAATTTACAGTGTATACAATGCAGTGTTTACTGAAGTATACCATGGCCATGCTTTCTTTTCATGCAAACAAAGGTATATTGCTCCAAAAACCAGGTTTAAGGTAAAAATCCATTATTTTATTACACTTATATAGCGGAGTAAAATAAAGATTTTACATAGAATTAAGTTCAGTGTGTTTCATACAAATTTGCACAGAGCCATAATGAGACCGTTCCAGGCTATATTGTAATATTAATGCGCATTAATTTGTCACCTCTCTCTTCCAGTTCAATGTCGTACACAACGCCGAAACAACTTCAGTAGGCATTGAAGTGAACAAACCCAATATAGGTATTGTGAAATGGTTAACGCGCTCAGGAAATTCGTTCTTGAAATAAGCATTAACTATATTGAGGCCTGCATAGCCATGGTATACTTTGGTAAACACTGCATTGTATGCACTGTAAATTCAAAAAAATTTTAAAGAGTCAAAAGGACTCCAAAAACGAGTCATAATGACTCTAAAGGTTCGTTCTGGGGTCAACTTGACCCCATGCAGAATGACTCATTTCGGGGTTGTTTTGACTCTTTTGCATTTACAGTGTATGAACCCCAAAGTAACCAACGACACACACGTATGCGCAAAACAATTGCATATAACAAACGCAAGGACATATATACTAAATGGCTTTTGATTTTGAGCCTAATATTAATTCCACCAAGTGAAGTGCAAGAATCTAAGTCATTCAAGTCCACCTTATTACAACCCGCACACCCGATTACCTATATATACATGAACTTACGGTTATAAAGCTCAACAGCTGGCCTCTCCAGCTCAGTTGGTTAGAGCGCTGCACCGGAATCGCAGGGCCGTAGGTTCAATTCCTACCAGAAGACCTTGTGCTGCATTTTTCGCATGCAGTCGTTCCTGGTTAGGTCTTAAAATGTATATATTCTCACTTGGGTTACAAACCCTAACATCCTAATATTAATTCCACCAAGTGAAGTGCAAGAATCTAAGTCATTCAAGTCCACAATATAAAACAATGCCTATATTGGCTATAGTTGTTAACTTCAGTAGGCATTGAAGTGCACAATATTGGTATTGTGAAATGGTTGGCGCACAGGAAATTTATTCTTGAAATAATATATATATATATGCATCTTTCACAGCTACTCCTGGTTAGGGTTAAAGCTCAGAATTAAATTAAATACATGCAGGTGTAACAATAAATTGTCCCTTATTTTTGCCCCTGGTTTGGTCTTCATAAATGTATAAATTTACACTAATAATTGCCATGTTTAAAATCGTTCAATATTCCCCTTGCCGCTTGATTCCTGCTATATATTCGGCAGTTGTTCACTTCAGTGGCCACTGAAGAGTTGCCTACGTCACAGACTCGACACAATTATGCTGGAATTGATGACGTAGCCTACTAAAGTGTGTGAACCCCAAAGTATACAGAGGCCGACATGTATACCAGCGACACCAAGGGTTGTGATTCCGAGAAAACTACAAACCAACAGAGAAAAGCTACTACAGCGAATATAAAGGGATGCCTAACTTTGTTTGTGTACCGAAATTAGCTACGTCGGCCAGTTGTTCACTTCAGTAGGCATTGAAGTGTACAAACCCAAAATAGGTATTGAAAAATGGTTGAAGCGCAGGAAATTCATTCTTGAAATAATTATTAACCATACTGAGGACTTCATGGCCAAGGTATACTTCAGTGAACACTGCAGTGTATATGAACTCCAAAGTACACAGAGGCCGACACGCATACCAACGATACACACGTATGCGCAAAACAATTGCACAACGATTGCAAAGACATACTACGGCTTCTGAATTTGAGCAAATTAAGAAACCAAAAGAGTCAAACTAACGCATGCAGCGAATATAAAACAATGCCTAACTTCGTTTCGGTATCGCAATTAGCTATACATTGGCCAGTTGTTCACTTCAGTACGCATCAAAGTGTACATGCCCAATATATATACTAGGTATTGTGAAATGGTTAACGCTCAGGAAATTCATTCTTGAAATAAGTATTAATTAACTATATTGAGGACTGCATGGCCATGGTATACTTCAGTAAACACTGCATGCATTGTATACATTGTAAATTCAAAAAAAAAAAAAAAAAGAGTCAAAAGGACTCCAAAAACGAGTCATAACAACTCTAAAGGTTCGTTCTGGGGTAAACATGACCCCGTGCAGAATGACTCCTTTCGGGGTTGTTTTGGCTCTTTGAATTTACAATGTATGAACCCCCAAAGTACACAGAGGCCGACATGCACGTATCCCAACGACACACACATATGCGCAAAACAAGTACACAACAAACGCAAAGACATGTACTAAATGGCTTTTGATTTTGAGCTAACTACAATACCAAACAAACAGAGCCAAACTAACGCAGTGAATATAAAGCAATGCCTATATAACTTCGTTTAGTTACCACAATTAGCTACATTGGCTAGTTGTTAACTTCACTAGGCATTGAACTGCACAATATAGGTATTGTAAAATGGTTGGCGCGCAGGAAATTTATTCTTGAAATAATTATTAACCCTAGTGAGGACCAGTACACTTCAGTATATATAGCCTATATATCCTATATATATAATTATATATATATATATATATATATATATATATATATATATATATATATATATATATATATATATATATATATATATATATATATATATATATATATATATATATGTATAGAATTTCGCTTACCTCAAAATTCCGCAACAGTCTGTTTCATCAGTAAAGAATCATCAGGCGGTATGACAAGTTTCGAAAAATAGTGCTGCTTATATGTGTTTTGGGCTACTGAGCTACACGGTCAGACGGATTTAAGACTGGAAATTATGAAATTATTTCATAATTTCCAGTCTTAAATCCGTCTGACCGTGTAGCTCAGTAGGTAGAGCGTCGATCTAGTAATTCGAAGGTCGCGGGTTCGAGACTCAGCCGCGGCAGACAACATCTT